AGTTTAGCACTTCATGTTACATAAATATAATCAGCTCTCAACACATATATTCTAAAAATTATATTCTTGAAAATGGTCACGATAAAACTTAACTCCTCAGTATAGAATATCTGACAAATTCTATCTTCTGTTAGCCTGGTCTAATTCATATAGTCCTAAAATGTAATAAAACTGTTTCCTTCTGACTTTCCATCATCTTCAGTGTTCAGCACTTTCCTTTCCCTTTACCCAGCTCTTCCAGTGAGATTGAACGAACTGTGGATTCAGCTGTGGGGCATTTGTTCAACTTTAAGTTAATTAGTACAACTTGGCTCTATAAAGAGCTTCTTTTCTTTTCTTTTTTTCCCCTGCCTTCTTGCTTATCTGGTTTTATATTGTTTCTCAAGTCATTTTAGATGTATGTATTTCACGTGTGCTATTAAGATACCTGGAGATAGAACGGTGGTTTAAGCGGGATTTCCTAACACCCTCCACTGGCCTCTGCTCAGCATCCCCATAGCTGTACTTTCCATGTGTGCTCACTTCCTTCCTTGGTGGCCTTCTCTCCTCACCCCTGCGCCAGGCCCTACTTCACATGTGGTGTTTTCTTGTGTCAGCCATTTAATAAGTAATTATATTTTTGATAGTAAAATTATTTGATAAATAATTACAGATTCTAAATATTTATACGTTAATTTTGGGTGATGGTTTAACATGATGGCTCAATTATGATTACACTTGCTCTTACCCAGAAACCCTGGAAATGCTCTTAGCTGTGCAGTACGTTGACACTGCTTATTAAAAGCGCATTTAAAATAAAAAGTGTTGCTATTACAGTTATTAATCAGCTATTTTACTGACAGTCAACATGCATTAGAAATGACTTAGCTAGTGGTCTAAAAAGAAATAAATGTATAATATTTAAATTATTAGGTAAAATAAAGCCTGCTCTGTGTGACACACAATGGTCTAGGTCTGTTTGCTGTTAGTTTTTCTCTGATGGCGTATGAGAAGCAGTGGGAGACGGTAGTAAACATCGGACTTAAAAATCTTCCCATTTCGCCGGGCGGTGGTGGCGCACGCCTTTAATCCCAGCACTCGGGAGGCAGAGGCAGGTGGATCTCTGTGAGTTCGAGGCCAGCCTGGTCTACCAAGTGAGTTCCAGGAAAGGTGCAAAGCTACACAGAGAAACCCTGTCTTGAAAAAAAAAAGAAAAAAAAAAAAATCTTCCCATTTCACTCATATACCTCTGGTACCCTTCTCAACTCTTAACTTACATACTCTCATCAGAAAGAAAAGCACGTTTTAAGTTTTCATGATAAACATTCGGTCTTTGGTGTAATTGGAACTTTATGTGCCATATTCCATGACAATCGTCACAGTCTCCTGAATGCTTCTGATTCTAAAACACAACCCCTCAGTGGTCATCCAGCAGCTCAGTCTCCCTCTCTCTCCCTCTCCCCCTCTCGTGTGTGTGTGTGTGTGTGTGTGTGTGTGTGTGTGTGTGTGTGTGTGTGTGTGTGCGCGCGCGCGTGTATGTGTAGACAACCTCAATGTTGCCCTTCACCTTCCACCTGGTTTGAGGTTTGAGACAGGGTCACTTATTCACGGCTGTGTGACTCAGGCTGGCTGACCTGAGTGTCACAGGATTCTCATATCGATATTCCCATCTGACCCTAAGAGTGCTGAAGTCACAGATGCATGCTGTTGCACCCTACTTTGAACAGAGTTTGGGGCTCCAAACTCAGCTCCTCACACTGAACAGCGTGCGCTTTACCCACAGAGCCATCTCTCCATCTTTAAATTGATTTGAAGGTCAAAGAAGGTTAAATTGTTTTACTGTCTTTTCCTCCGAAAACTTAGAAAGCTAGAGATGTGCAAGATGTCTGATTCAGGTGAGCAGCTGGTCACTGGCAGATGGTAAACAAGGATCTCCCTCCCTTTGTTCAATGAGGAATTATCCCTTGAGATGAAATATGAGCAAGGAGCTAATTTACAAGCATTATTCTCTGAGTACATGCCACTCTATGTACTAAACTAAACATAGCAGGCATGTAAAGATAACAAATGCTATTGCATGCTTGTGTATGGATTTTTCGGAAACTTCATTTTTTTTTTTTTTTTTTTTTTTTAGCAACAAAGCCAAGCACTGACATGTTTTTAACCTTAATTTTAGAAAGCTTGCATCAAATGCACACCTTTAAAAATGGAGAGCACGTAAACAATGTGGTTGGGAAAATATTGAAGCTCCAGCTTTGGTGGTGGGCCAAGTAATCTGGTCTAAGCTGGTTTCAAATGTCACTGAGTGGATTATTAGGCCTCTGGGGAAGCATGATTTGATTTCACTTGCACTGGCTTCTGCCGGCTCAGCTGCTGTCCTGTAATCCCTCTCCTGGCCCTGAGATTTCTAATTCAGTCAGGTTTCAACTCCCTAAGTGTCCTGTAGTGTGGAAATGAATAGAACTTCTTCTTTGTTAGTCTGCCATTCATGTTGAGACTTTTGAGTGACATTTTCTAGATAGTTTTATACTGTACGTAAGGCGCATGTAACACTTAGCCAGAGGAGATCCTGTCCTTGCTTTTAAATAATTTTGCGTTAGCTATGTTTCTCATTACAGTGATAAAGGCTGTGTAGGGGAAGGGTCGGTTTGGGCTTAGATCTAAGAAGTCGTGGTGGTGAAGTGTGCAGGCTGGTCACATTCTGTCCGCAGTCAGGAAACAGATAAGGGCGGTGCTCATCTGGACCCTCCTGTTTCCTTCTTCAGTCTCGGGCCAGCCCAGGGGAAGGTGATGCCCACCTTCAGTTAGCCCTCCCCTTCCTTCTCCCTGGAAACAAACTCAGAGATACATCCAGAGATTGTCTCCTGGAAGAGTCCAAATCCAGTCTAGTTGTCATGAAGAACAATCATTTCAGTTTTCAACAAATTTTCCTAAGTTCCAGCCCATATCTCGCTTCATTTATACACATTCTACTTGACTAATTTAAAGGGATTTTTACTTTTAAGTGGCATTTCTTGTTGCTGAAGTGTTCACCTTTGAATTTAGCTTAGCCCATTCTGTTTCAACTCTACGTAGAGCAAAAGCCATGAACATGTGCAAACTAGAGATGCTGCTCCTCAAGCCAGAGGAATTATCCTTCACCAGGGGTGTGAGAATAGCTGGTTACCTCACAGCCGTTTTGCAACTCCTGATAATTGTCGTCATGTTATTTTATGATATATTTCATGTTATATCATGGATTTCATTATATTTAACCAAAAAAAGGGGGAAGAATATTAGCTGTCACTTAGTGCAGGATTTTTGATATACCTCATTTAGTCTGTGTAGTGATCCTGGGAAGAGAGCATGATAGCCATTGGAATAACTATATAATTGAAGAGAGAGTAAAATGTTGTAGGAGCAGAGTGAATGATGAAGTAACTTCGTATTTAGTGTCTCCTCTGGTGCACTGACCCCCAACACCTAGTTGAAAACCGTGGTCTTGAGTGCTACAGGTAGGAGGGCAAAGAAGTATGTAGAGCCAGCTGTGGTGCACATCTGTAATCCCAGCGTCCAGGAGTCTGAGATGGGAGAATCCTGAGATCAGCCGAACCTGTCTAAAACTAAGCAAACCTAGTTCTCACAAAAGGCGAAGGAGTATGATGGGACCGTGGGGAGTCAGTGGTTCAGAATTTCACTGGTAAGCCCCCTGGGCTGATGCAGGAGATTGTGCCCCTACTGACTGCATATTTCCCTGTCAAAAGATTGGTATTGGGCAGTTCAGAAATGCATGTTGAGATACAGTGGAAAGGGTCAGAGTAAATGAGATTTGGGTTATTTAAATATTTGCATAACGTATCTCTAGGACAGGTCTTGTGTTCTCATACAATATAACCTAATTTCTACTTTTTCAGAAAACTGTGTGTCAGCCATAAAATTTAGAAAAGTCTTTTAAACCCTGTAAATAATATTAAATGGACAGCAGAACTCCCTGCTTAATTTTGTTTCAAGAAAAGAGTGGCATTTAGCATTATTAAAGCTGAGAAGACAGTTCATAAAATACAAATTAAAGGTCTATTTTCTTAATCAGCATGATTACATGATGATAACTCCTAATTGCATATAGGATGTTTGGCCCTTGCCCATTTCAGATAGAAGTATGTAGAAGTCATACTGTCTTTCTTGATGGATGGAGAAGAAGGTGCTTTGTAAGGCTGTTTTGTTCTGGGGAATAAAGGCCCCCTGAAGTGAGGGAGGTTGTTTGACCCTGTGAACAGCAGCAAACACGTGTCTCACACAGTTGTGTCCTGCTGCACTCCCATGCCTTTCTGGGTAGCTTGAAATTGTTCCTCAGCCTTTCCTTACGACGGATGCGTTTGTGTCTTGTAACTTCATGGCAATAATGAATATAATGTAGTGGGTAATGTGAGTGTAACATCCACCACAGTAACCAGTCTGCTTTCACATCTTATTTGAAGGAGACATATAAATGAATTGTTTTTTATTGAGGCTATAATTCTGTCTAAATTCCAACAGGAGCCATCTCTGTAAACAGTGATAACGGTATTTCTTTAGGAGACCTGACTACTTTTTCAGGAGAGTGCTCTGAGGGGGATGGGGAACGCAGGAAAATCCTCTCCAGTGTGAGCTGTCCTGAGAATGGGTTCCTTTAAAAAGTGCAGTGTCCGCTAAGTATCTGATTACTGTCATTGTTTTTCCTGATGAGAGAGCCTTTTTTGTTTTAAATGTCTGGCACTCCAAGTTGTACTTATTTCTCTATTTCAAATAAATTGAACTGGCCAATAAAACTTCTATTTTTAGGATCAAACTTACAATATTGATATTCATTTTTTTGTATATCGTAATAGCAGGCAGTTTAACACTGGCTGTGATTGAGAGTAGGTGTGGGAGAAAACCCCAACCTCTCTGGAACATTCACTGTCTATCCTTGTTTTAGCCGATAGTTTTGGTTAACAGTCCTTTAGATTCAAAATGAGTCATTGGTTTACAACTTTAACATAATCGTTTCTTTGCTTTTGTAGATCAATGTACTGTTACCCGCACTTACTTATTCCTCCACAAGTTCTGGTTCTTCAGTGCTGCATACTATTTTGGTAACTGGGCCTTTCTTGGGGTAAGTATTGGTAGCCCAAGCATGACTCGGCCTTCCTTTACACAGTTACATGTATAAGCTTGTGTGTATCTAGTAGTCTCTTTGAATCGCAATACTGCCATTGAGAGGTTTTTCAAGGTGTAATTTGTATGTGTGTGAGGGAATGCCACATGTGTGCGGGTAGCTGTGGAGCCCAGAAGAGGGTCACATCTCCAGGAGCTGGCATTATGGGAGGTTGTGAGTTGCTGCATGTGGGTGCTGCACACTGAACTCAGGCCCCTGGAAGAACAACTCAGCCTCTGAGCCATCCCTCTGACTCCAGCTACTGGGTTTTCAGTGCGTTGCTTAGGTGGTCAGATTTTCGTAACACCACGTGCTTGAATTTCCAGGTATTCTTGATTGGATTAATTGTCTCCTGCTGTAAAGGGAAGAAGTCAGTCATTGAAGGAGTGGATGACGATTCGGACATGAGTGATGACGAGCCATCTACCTACTCCGTGTGAACAGCCTTCTGCCCTAAGGGCTTCGTGAAGCTGGCTGAATATGTGTTATGCATTTTCAACGTTTTCAAGTAACATTAGGATGAACTGTCTAGCTTTCATCAAAAATGAGAGCATGGCCATTAAAAAGAACTATATTTTTTATGTCTTCTGAAGTAACATTATTGTATTATAGATTAACACAAAATTGCTATAATAATACTATGTAAATACCATATTTCCAGGTTTGTGAGGGAATGTTTGTGGAAATTTTCTTTATTGTATAATAGTGTTAAATTTATTAAAATCTTGCAGAATTTACATCCCCTTTGTTGCTTTTTAAGAACATAAGAAGTCACTTGTCTTGTGCCTTAGGGTCTCTGGAATAATGTGAAACTTTGAAGTGTCTTCCTCTGATAGGCTGAACAGTGTCATAATATTGCTCGTGGATAAGCGCAGCTCTCGTGGGCAGCTTGTTTTCAATATTGTCCATAAAATTATTAGTCTAACTCAAGTAGAGTTCGTGAAAAATTGTTAAACTGCTTAAGACCGTGGTATTCTAAGATGTGTTAGAGGTTTAATTGTTCAGATCTTAACGCATTGAGAGAGTTGCTACCTCCACAGGAATATTTAGGGCACATTTATCAATGTAGATAGTACTTGTTTTATAGACTTTGAAATTTGTATTATCGTAAATGGAAATATCAAGAATAATGAATGCAGAAAAATTGAGTTTACCAAGAGTTTTAAGATATATGATATCATTCTCACCTATTTTTTCATTTGCTGTTTGGAAAATTATAAAAGAAAATGAAAGATATGTGACATAATGGAATATTCTGAATGTGTTCTGGGTGGTGAAAAATAAAATATAACTTGCTAATGTCAATTAGAACTCATTGAACAGTGTTTACCATTCTGCTTGAAGTAAAATACCTTTATCTCCTGGAGAAGACGTAAGAGTTAACCAGTTAGCAGCTGAATCTTCTGTGCCTGAGTTTCGATAGCACTTTGTCCTGACTGATTCTCTGCTTCACCTGATGAGCTTCTAGAACCTTCATGTTGACCTTGGCTTCTGCTCCCACCCTCACCTTGCTCACTAGAGGCCAGTCTCTTCTGCTCCTCGTTTACAGTCTCAGGTGGACAGTCTCTTGGCCTCCATCTGATTACTGTTCCCTAAACTCTGGACTTTTACTTATGGGTAAGCTACATTACTGCTGTAATTGGGATGGGTTGAATTGAACCCCATTACTGGCGCACTAAGCCTCCCTTTGTTGGTTTTTATTTTGTTGGTGTGGTATTGGCAAATCAGGCTCCCTGATTACCCCACCCATCAGGACAGCTTTGTATAGCAAGCTCACCATAAAGTCCTGCTGCTTTTTACTGCCTGACTTTCCTTTCCTTTGTCTGTTCTCACTGCCACTTACCATGCTATCATTGAAGAGTGTCCTTCCCAAATTCAGATGTTGAAGTCCTCACCCCAGTTCCTTAGACTCCGGCTATGTAGAGGCCATTAAGGAAAGTAATTTAGGTACAATTAGGCAGTTGAATGGATCCCTCCTAGAGACATCTGGAATGTGCAGGAAGCACGGGGGGGGGGGGGGGGGGGGGGGGGGGGGGGGGGGGGGGGGGGGGGGGCATATAAGGACCAAAGGAGGCAATAAGCTATAAGCTAAGGAAAGAGACCTCAGGAGAACCTTGCTCTTCGACTTCTGGCTACCACATCTCAGAAAACACGTTTTCAGTTTACATCCATTGAGTCTGTGGTGTCCTCCAGCCAAGGCACACTCACACACCCTGGTTCCTGAACTTCCTCCTTGGGTGCTCTGCCAAGTCCTGACTCCCCTCAGCCTTTTCTTGACATTTAAAGAAAAAAGGGAATTAGTCCATTGCTTTGCTGTGAAAAGCTTTCACTTATTTTTAAATGAAACCTATAAGCCCTCGTGTGATATTTAAGGCCTTTCTAGTGTTTTTATTTGCTTCCGGACTTCTTTGCCATTCCCACAGCATTCGTATGAGTGATTCCTCACAGCCGTATTCCGTTGAACCTTTCCTTCTGCTTGTAATGCCCAGTCAGCCTTTCCTTGGTCTCCGAAGAAAATTCTTATTTTTCGGTCCTTGGGTTTAGTGTTATATTCCTCCTCTAAGGAACCCTCGAGGAGGTGAGATGCTCGCTCGTTGCTGTTCTGTGGACCTTGTACAGGGCAGCATAGCTTGACTACCTGCCTCTGTGTCCACCTTCTCCACACTGCAAGTCCATGTACAGAGCATCTAATTTTCTAACTTTGTTCCGGGGACCCAGAAAAACTCCTTACATGTGGAGAGTACATGTTTGATAGGTGAAATTTGCTAGTTTGAAGCTGTAAACATGTCTACATTGGTTAAGCCTACATAAACTGTATTTTTATCTAAGTGTCAGGAGGCATATATGCCTTTTTTGAGATTTTTTTTTTGCTATTTAATAAGTTTAGAAATATTTATCGTAATTATTCTATATACTTTTAGGATTTTTTGTTCAACTTCTTAGCTTACCATTTTACTTGTTTTATTATTTAAACAATGAAATTTAAGTATATATCTTCCTCCTCTCATCTCTTATGTGTTTAGAAGTCTACTTTATGCTAAAACTACTTTGCCCCTCTCCTAATGTAATGGAATGCATTGGACTTTATGTTTTCATAAAGCTGATTTCTAAGTGTTATGACTTCCACTAATGAACAATGTATTTCCTTTGAAGTCCTCCTTCAAAAATGCCTAAATTAGAGATTATCTAGAGCATTGAGTTTCCAAAAGACCAAGGGCTCTCATGTTCCATGCAAACTTCAAAGTGATTAATTTATTTAGCCATGTAGCAGGGCAATGAGAAACCTGGAACAGACTTGTAGCCAGCTCAGTGCTGCTGTACCAAAGAAGTGAAAAATCTTATTGCATAAGAAAAGAAAACCAGTTAGGAGCTCCAGGGAGAAAAAAGCAATACCAGAATGTTTTCATGAGCCTGCATGATGGCTCAGCAAGTAGATTACACACAGTCCTTACTACCTGAGTTCTATCCCAGGATCCCAAGGTGACTTGGAGAAACAGGCTCCTGAGACTTGTCCTGTGACCTCCGTATACCTGAACTCTCAAACACACATAGATTAAACTAATAGTGTTTTCTAGGATACTGCAAAGGTCCTCTCTGAATGTTAGATATTTAGAGTAACGTACTGCTTTAGAAATAGCCCACAGACACAGAACAGTAGGTGTTGCCTACAACACTGAACGGATGTATAGGGCTTGATCACTTTGTCATCTTTTGGTCACTGTGACAACCTGGAGCAGAATCACATTAAAAGGAAGAGAGATGTGCTTTGATTCCTAGTTCTGAAGGTTCCAGTCCGTGTTCCGCTTGCACCACGAGCTTTTGGAAAGACAGGATGGCATAATGGGGATCACACTGTGGATCAAATACCTTGTGGTGTTCAGGTAGCAGCGAGCGTGGGGCTGGACTTCCAATAGTCCATTCTAGAGCACACCTCAAGTGAACTGAATTCCTTCTACTGGGCCTATCCCCTGAAGGTTTCACCACCCTTAATAGTGCCACAGGCTAGCAACCGAAACTGTTGGAAGATTCTTAAGAGCTGAGCTGTAACAACCAGGTAAAATGACAGTTGGTAAAAAATATAAATTAAGTATATATTTTGAAAGTTAGTATATATATTTAAAAATATTAAATAAATGTATAAATATGATTATATATAATATATATAAAATTTTAAAATTTTTTAAAGGAGCGGGAAAGGAAAGATCTTAGAAGAAAGGATGCTAAAATCTTCCTATCAATGGGGTATGCTGGTTAAATTTTGTCAACTTGACACAAACTAGGATCATCTAGGAAGATGGAACCTCAGTTGAGAAAATGCCTCCATCAGACTGGCCTGTAAGCAAATCTGTAGGACATTGTTTTGATGAATGATCAGTGTGGGAGAGTCCAGCCCACTCTGAGTGGTGCCACCCTGGGGCGAGTGGTCCTGGGTTGTGTAAGAAAGCAGGCTGAGCCCGTGCAAGCCGTGAAGCAAGCCAGTAAGCAGCCCTCCTTCTTGGCTCTGATTCAGTTCCTGCCTCCAGGTCCCTGTTTCATTTCCTGCCCTGACTTCCTTCAGCGATGTAGTGTTACCAGGAAATGGAAGTGAAATAAATCATTTTTTTTCCCCAGGCTACTTTTGGTCATGGTGTTTATCTCAACTGTGGGAATCTAACTAGAAGAGAAAATGACCCAGGGAGTAAAATATTGCTGTGACTGACCTATGCTGTTTTTCTGAAACTTGTGCAAGTGTTTCGAATCTTGGCTGGAAGAGCCATTGAGTGCTCTTGTAGAAGTATCAGCAGAGAAACCCTTGTCTTGGTTTGGGTCAGAGTTTCATCCTTGCACCGTAGAAGCAAACTAGAAGAGGAAGAGAAATCAAAAGATTCTGTTCCTAGTCGAGGGAACGTAAGTACTCATGTGTGGCAAATTGTACCCCTCCCGAAAATATATTGGTACAAGGATTGTTTCGAGCTACAGGTATTTAGAAAATAGCAAATGCAAGGACACTGAGAACTTGTCTTTCTAAAAGAAGGAGATGTCCTTTTCATCCTGAAAGAAACTGACATCCCTGTCAGCAGCACCCTCTGAAAATTGTGTTCTATACAAATTGTTCACCAACCCTTAGCTTCCCAGCTACTCACGCACCATCAGTTGCCCGAGGCCAGCTTCTAGAGTCTAATATTCTCATGTCTGGTTCCATTTTTATGATCCACTGGTCTTTGCCCAGCATGGAAGCATTCAAGTATACTTATTCTTCGAGTCTTCATTTCCATATCACAGGTTCTGTGTTGCACAAAACTTAAGTGGACGTGTATGATTTTTCTCCTATTAATCTTGTCTTCTGTTACCAAGCCCTGGCTGGAATCCTAAGATGGATAGAGGAAAGATTACATTCTCTCACTGCAGTTTATTAGAATTGTGAAGGTAAATGTAATCAGTCAGGCTTCTGACTGATGATGCAGTGATGTGAGGGCATGGGAGGAGGAGGAGGAGGAGGAGGAGGGAGAGAGAAAAATAGCTTGAAGAGGAGGTGGAGGTGGGAGGAGCTGTCTCCAGCAAGCAAAATGCTTTTATTATAGCAACTCAGTAAGTGACACTTAAAATACATAAACATCGGAATAATAATGCTTTCAAGTCTATAACAAATATATTAAAGAGAAAAATCATACTATTTATGAGAAATTTCATTAGAAGATAAAATGTCCATTGCAATTATATATAAATCAGTCTTTGAATTTCCTGGCAGCCAAGACTAAAAGATGATAGATGAAGTCTTTCCACTTGGTAAGTAGCAGTGCTCAGTTTACTGCAGACACTTTCTTGTTTCTTCCCATTTTTCCCAGTGGCCTTGAACCTGAAAAGGAAGTTATAATAGGAATTCTTACATTAAAAATGAATAGTGAGCTAATGACTGCTAAAGCTTGAACAGAAAATCATACGAAGATGCAGAATGTTGGATCTTGAGGAAAATCTGGATGCCTATCAAGAATTCCTCAACATACATTGTGTCTATGATACTTCATTTATTTTATTCAGCAAACATAAGTCCCTACATATTCTGTATGACAGTGGCTACTAAGAAGTTTCTAAGAATCAAGATGATGGCCTCATCCTTTCAGAACATGGTCCAGGAACACATGGCATTTGGCAGTAAATGGGCTCGTTGATATATACTAAGATTATATGTGTCACATATCTTGAATTAATATATGAAAGTCATTTCATCAAAGTTGAATTACAATAAAGAGGTTACAGTATCAGAAAGCTTATGTCTCCAAAGCCTAACAATCCTCTTCTAATACCATACGTGTTTGTTGAGTATG